ATGAATTAAAAGTGAACTGAACTGGAAACATTCTCCAAGTCAGATATGCTTACAGTTCTGCTGCTTTGAATCATGTCAATGAATTTAAGTGGTTACTCTGCCTAGAGCAGAGGTAGGCAATCTTTTCGTAGTACTGTGACAAAACAAGATGTTGGAGTCCCTTGGCATGCCACTATGTAATGCTTGTGTTATTTTTGATTGCTGCAGTGTCTTTGTACAGTTGTATTTGTGCGTATGTGGGCTGTTATATTGTATATAATGATATACTTGTCACATATTCATCCGCTTATAGAAATGTGGTTAATGACATTTACTGTCCACACAGGAAAAGTTGTTCCGAGCAGCAACCTAATCCACAGAAGGGTTAATGCTGAGCAGTAATTGTGCAAATGAAACCTGGTGTCATGTATTCATCCGCTTAGAGAAAAGTGATTAATGACATTTACTGTCCACACAGGAAAAGTTGTGCAGAGCAGCAACCTAATCCACAGAAGGGTTAATGCTGAGCAGCAATTATGCAAATGAAACCTGGTAACTGACTTTGGGGTCAAAGGCCGGTTACAGCCTATCAGAACTAAAGGAGGGGTATTTAGGCCCAGTTCTCAGCCTGCTCAGTGCCCTGTCGTGGTTTCCCTTGTGGTTGTCTGAGAGCGCGTTCCTGTTTATAGTTTTCTACCTGGTTTTGACTTTGGCTTTGTTTATTGACTTCTCTATATTCTGGTATCCTGACTCCTGGCTTTCCTCATCGCTGTGTCCCTTTCTGTGTTCCCTGACCTCGGCTAGTATTTTTGACTATTCTTTGTACGTTAAATCCGGCCATTCTAAGGACCGGTAATACGTTACTTATTTGTCATCCGTGCTGTACAGTTCTACGTGCTGGATCAAACAGTAATCCTGACAATACTATAATATATAATACTGCATGAGTACTTTGTTGTATTGAGTATTATACCACCTATGAATGGGGGCTGTTTATGAGGCCTGTTTGTGGAGGTTTGTGTCAATGATATGTTACATTGTGTGTTTGGTGGTGTATGTATGAGTAGAGCTGCTTGTGGGTTTACATGTGAGACACTGCTTGTGTGGTTGTGTGGGGATTTTCAGTGGTGTTGTGTTTGTAGGGACTGTGTGTGTGTTTGCCTGTGGGCTATTTGTATGAAGGGGAGGATTCTTCTGCAGCTCTGTGTATATCTAGCTTTGCAGGTGGCTTCCCTGGGGGCCAGTTACAGATCAATAGCTGCTGCGGGTTGCTCTTCTCCAGTGCAGATTCCCACTTCACAAGTGCAGGGAGGAAGTGAGCTGAGATAATTTCCTCTAAGTGCTGCAGTTTGTAAATTGAGAATTGTCCCTCACCACCTACAATCACTGATAAATTTGCACTCACCGATATCTTAAAGGGAAACTATAATACTAGTAAAAAAAATTGTTTTCCTGGCACTATAGTTCCCTCGTGCCTCCCTCCCCCCCCGTCCATCCCCCGTGGTGCAGAACGGGTTAAAAACCCCTTTTATTACTTAACTGATTTGTTCATCCATGTCCCTCTGCACTGGTTCAGGCTCAGTCTGCCCAAAACATTATCTAATGCTTTCCTATGAGGTTTTACATGAAACTGGATGCCCTCATACATAGTCACCTAACGACTCAGAAGTCCCTCTAGTGGCTGTCTGGTAGACAGCCATTAGAGGGAGTGTTAAACCTCAAAGGTAATTATTACAGTTTATTAAGGGACCTGGGAATATGCACTCAGACCACTTTAATAAGCTGCAGTGGTCTGGGTGCCTATAGTGTCCCTTTAAGTCCCAGTGCGACCCCTGATAGGCCAGAGCCTGTTCTGGTGGCTTCGAGTGCCTTGCAAAGGCACCTCGAGTGCCATGCATGACACACGTGAGGTAGGTTGCTGACCCCTGGCTTAGAGTCCTTTTGGACATAATATGGTGTGTTGGGGTAATTTGAAGAACAATAGCACATTGTTTTAATGATATTAATATCAAGCAGGAGAAAAGCTACATTTCAAGTTTACTCCCCAGGTATGAAACTTTGGCGTGATCCACCTATCGTTTATTCAAATTAGGAATTTTTAATGTATCTTTTGTCCTTTTTAAAAATCTCTCTTTATGGTTTAACAGTCACTGTACAAAGACTGGTTCAATTATAAAACACAAAATAATGAAGATTGCTATTTGTTAGGCCAATATCATAACCTTTATCTTTACTTTGAGAAATCCCTGTACTTAAACCCTCACTTACCCACTAATCATGCACATACATGAAACTGTCTTTTATTCCGTATCAGGATATTAGGCACAACATGGTATATCACAATATTCAGAGTGCTGCTGCATGCTAAGCATTATGGGATGCAGAGCTCCCAACTGTCCTGCTTTCAGAGGGTCAGTGCCTGTTTTGGATTCCTGTCCCACCATCCCAGTATAGTTCTCTGGGACTCCAGGAAGTTCATTATTAAATGTGCTCATGCTGTGCTTGATGCCAGGCCATTCAAAGGTGGGAACTCCCACTTTGTAGGGTCCACTCACTCTGGGGTACATGGATGTGGGTGACTGCCTCCATATCTGTAATATGTATGACTATGCTGGTAGCATACTGTTAAGTCTTTAGTGAGAACTGACCTATAGGGTATGTCATTACAATTTTACAGGGTTACTCACTAAAATCATAATTGTTGGGATATTCAAAGTAGAGGAGGTAATATACTGCGCAAATTCACTTTGTGTGTCAAAAAGGCAGAAAAAATACTTATTACCACTACACTTAGTACAAGCCAGCGGAAAAATGATCCCATGCTAAGGTTCAAAATAGGCCTTTTGAAATACTCTGGGATGTCTTCTTTAAGAAATGGTATGGCTTTATGGGGTATTTTGATTATATAGCCTGGTAAAATACTCTAAAATGGAACATGGGCACAGTGTAAAAATGTAAAGTTTGAAAAGAACTGGAATGGCTGTGTCCCAAATGTGCCCCTCCGATGTCCATATATACCAGGCAAAGGTACATACGGGGGTATTGCTGTACTCAGCCGACATAGCTGAGCAACATATGAAGTATTATACAGTCGTAGCACACATACGATTTGCAAAATATACTGCGCAAACTCACTTTGTGTGTCAAAAAGGCAAAAAAACGCTTATTACCACCACACTTGGTACAAGCTAGCGTAAAATTTATCCCACGCTAAGGTTTAAAATATGCCTTTTGAAATACCCTGGGATGTGTTCTGCTCAAGTGCTCCAAAGTGGGACACGGACGCATCAAAACCCTCCATGAAAATCCACACTTAAAAACCTTAACTTGTCACGTCTCTTTTACAGCAGTGTAACTTCACAAAATAGTGTCTAGGTCATATATTGGGCATATTGTTTTACTCAGAAGACTTAGCTGAGCATAATTTGGGGGTTTGAACTTAGTGGCACATATGAAATGTACAAAATGCCCAGCAAAAATGTAATCTGTATGTAAAAAATGCCCCAAATAATTTTTTTACCACATACTTTGGCATATATTGGTGACAAAATATGAGATACCCTGGAGTGTCTACTTTTACAAATGGTAGGCCTTTGTGTTTTTTTTTTTTGAACAGTCAAACTGCTATAATACCCCAAATTGAAGCATAGGCCCATTAAATCCGCCTCTCAAAATTCTACTGTAAATGTTGAAATGGACAGGTCTCCTATATGGCACTGTAGCTTCACGAAATGGGGGTATCGTTGTACTCAGCAGAAGTAACCGAACACAAAATAAAACTTTGTACAGGAATAGCACACACCAACTTTACACAAAGTTCTTTGTTATAAGTTTGTGCCAAAAAACCCTAAAAACTAAATTTTACTCCAATATTTAGCAGAGATTGGCGGTGAAATGGCTACGTAAAAAGTTTCAAAACAACCCTAGGTAAATAGCCTGTGATGTCTACTTTATATAAATATATACTTTTGTGTGGCAATTTTGTTTTCTTTTATGGCTATTAAGCTTACAAGACAAACATACCAAATTCTAAAATCGCTCCACATTAAAGGTTTATTTTACTCCTTGTGCTTTGTGACCTGTAACAACCAAAAAAAACTTAAAATCCCAGACACATTATATATTCTGTAAATCAGAACAACTAAATGAATTTATTTTTAATTACTTTCCTTAACCTGCACTAATTATGCACACATTATTATTGCAAAAACTGTAAAAAAAAACAATATTTTTTTTTGCATTTTTCTGTATTTTTGTAATAATAAATAAGTATATATATATATATTACATCAAATTAAAGCCCTTTCTGTCCTTTAAAAAACAGTATTTAATATGTGTTGGTGCAATAAACAAGAGAGATGCAAATTGCAGTTGAACGTAAACAGCAAGAAAATGCAAAAATTGCTTGTGTCATTAAGCGTAACACAAGCTTCTGAAGCTGTGTCCTTAAGGGGTTAAAGGGGCAGATACAGTGCCTTAAAAACCATTATGCCCAAATAGCGTTTTTAAAGGGCAATACATCCCAGGGGCCATAGTCACAGGGCAAGAGGCTGGCAAGCAGGCCTCTCCAAATCCCAGTGACGAAGGTGCTTTCGTCACACACTATCTAATTAAACAAAAAAGCCAGAGGCTGAACCAATTTTGATTTAATTAGTTTATAATATAGATTGCTAAATCGATCAGGACCTGGAGTTTTTTGTTCATATTTATTTATTTATAAAATATTTTACCAGGATGGATACATTGAGATTTCTCTCGTTTTCAAGTATGTCCTGGGTCCACAAAACATTGCATTGTTACAATAGGATACAATATTACAAAAATACAATATATATATACACACATATAAATATAAATTTAATACATAACAGGTAATACATGACAGGTGCATTCTGTGCTGAGATATATTGCCATAGATCTCTTACAAGATTTTAGATTGAATGAAGATTAGTGATGTCCCGAACGGTTCGCCGCGGACGGCGAACATATGCGGTAAACTTTGACCCTGTACCTCACAGTCAGCAGACACATTCCAGCCAATCAGCAGCAGACCCTCCCTCCCAGACTCTCCCACCTCCTGGACAACATCCATTTTACATTCATTGTGAAGCTGCATTCTTAGTGAGCTGTCCAGGAGGTGGGAGGGTTTGGGAGGGAGGGTCTGCTGCTGATTGGCTGGAATGTGTCTGCTGACTGTGAGGTACAGGGTCAAAGTTTACCGCATATGTTCGCCGTCTGTGGCGAACCGTTCGGGACATCACTAATGAAGATATGACTGGGTCCCTGAGGTCGTTCCATAATTGCGGTGCTCTGTAGGAAAATGAGGATCGAGCCAATTATTTTCGTATTGCAGTATGCTAAATATCATGCTAGTACTGGATCGGAGGTTATAGGAGGTGGGAACAGCTGGGGAGAGCATTCTACTCAGGTAGGGTGGGAGCTTTCCAGAAATGCTCTTATGCACAAGGCTGGAAAGATGAAGAGTGCGTCTAGATTCCAGCGATAGCCAGTTTAGCTCTTTTAGCATATCACAGTGGTGGGTAAAGTAATTACATTCTAGTACAAAGCGGCAGAACGAATGATATAACGTATAAAGTTTATTAAGGTGGGTTATCGGTGCGGGTGCATACACTACATCCCGATAATCAATGACTGGCATTAGCATTTGTTGCACTATCTGTTTCCTTACTGTTTCGTTACGTAGGGTTTAGGTAGGATTTGTTTCTGTACAGGGCACCTAGTTTTGGGTAAAGTTTTGAAGAGTTTTTTTAATGTGGAGGCGAAAGGATAGATTGGGGTCTAGCAACATACCTAGATATTTAAATGAGCAGATTGCTGTCAGTGTGCTATTTGAATTTGTTCTGATACACAGTTGTTGATTTTGTAGTTTACATAATGTAGGTACAGTTCCAAAGATAATTTTAACAGTTTTGTCAGTGTTTAGGAACAGTTTGTTATTCGCTATCCACTTTTCTACCTCTGTAAATTGGTTTTAGAGCACAGCCTCAAGCTGCGGTAGATTGGGTTTACGAGCGTATATTACAGTGTCACCGCATACATGGGTACAGTTGAAGATTTGCAAATGTTAGGCAGATCATTTATAAATAATGTGAATAGCAGGGGGCCGAGTATGGAGGCTTGAGGAACACCACACGTGACTGGAAGAGGGAGGGAAGCACTATAACAAATGGCCATATATTGCAATCGGTCTGAAACATACCATCACCAATGCCTGGGTTTTTACGTTTTTGCAAAAGAATGCCATGGTCTACATTGTCAAAGGCCTTGGCAAAGTCAAGGAAAATAGCTCCAGTTAAGTCTCCTTGTTCCATGCCAATTTGGCTGTCATTGCAAACTTTTAAGAGGGCAGTCGAAGTTGAGTGATTTTGCCGAAAGCCGGATTGATCAGGTGTCAGATAATTTGATTGTTGATAATATTCACATAGTTGCATGTGGGCAGATTTTTCAAAGATTTTTGACATTACTGGGAGCAATGATATCGGGCAATAGTTAGATACCAAAGTATTGTCACCACTTTTATGGATAGGTACAACTTTTGCAGTCTTCCAAAGTTTGGGTATGTATCCTGACACCAGGGATTCATTGATAAGGGTAGTGACAGGTTTAGCAATTGCTGGCTCACTGAGCTTCAGCAACATTGCTGGGATTTGATCTGGTCCACACTGTTTTTTCATTTTTAAATTATTAAGATGTTTATTAATGACGCTAACAGGCACAGGCCTAAAATTGAATTTCTGTATATGAGGATTTTGAAGATTTGGCAGGTCCTGTTCTTTATTTGTGGTCTGGAAATGAGTGTAATTTGTTATCTTAGAAACCAGGATGGTAGCACATCCAACAAAATAATTATTAAAGACATTTGCTACATCTAGGGGGTGTTGCAGTGTTTGGTTGTTCATTTTGACAGTGGAGGGTTGGGAGTGGATTGTGAGGTTTCGTATGCTATTTATGATTTTCCAGAAGTTTCTTGGGTTTGATAGGTTGTCGTTCATATTTAGACTGAAATATTGGGTCTTTGCCATTTTTGTTTGTTTTGTGCATGCATTTTGCCATTGTCTGTAGGTACAGTGATCGTTCATGGAGCCAGTACGCTGGAACTTTGACCACAGTGAATCTCTAAACTGGTACATTTGAATGAGGTCAGCTGTAACCCAGGACAGGTGTGTCCCTTTTAGTCGCACTTTAGGCAGAGGGGCATGCAAATTCCAAACACACAAGAGATTGGACTGAAAAAATGCAATTGCAGAGTCTAGATCTGGTATAGCCTATTATAGTCTATTAATTATAATAATATATATAATAATATAATAATTAATTATAATAATATAATAATTATAGTCTATTGGTCTCTCAACTTCAATAGGAGTAAATTGTATATTGTTTGTATTTGTTTAAAAAGTTTTGTATATCGCTCTTTTTTGGGTTTAATCCCAGATTGCATAGTTTACTATAAAACTCATTGATTATTTTCTTGGAGGTAGTATATATTCCATGTATAGAGAATATAGAATGCACACTATAACAATCTAAAAAAACTTAGCTTTATTATGTATTATATACAAAAAAACTTAGCTTTATTATGTATTATATACAAAAAAGTACCAGAGTGAAAACATATAAGAAAAAATAAACAAAGTGACAGAAGCAAGGGCAAACACAATAAAACAATAATAAATTACCACAAAAATTCTTACAAGCCTCAAGACAGAAACACGAGTACCCTTGATAAAGGCAGCCAGTTGGTGCCGAAACGTTGGGGGGTTTGGTGACTCGTGTTACTGTCTTGAGGCTTGTAAGAATTTTTGTGGTAATTTATTATTATTTTATTGTATTTGCCCTTGCTTTTGTCACTTTGTTTATTTTTTCTTATATGTTTTCACTCTGGTACTTTTTTGTATATAATACATAATAAAGCTAAGTTTTTTTGTATATAATACATAATAAAGCTAAGTTTTTTGAGATTGTTATAGTGTGCAGTCTATATTCTATATACATTTGAATATTTAAAGCACTTGAGGGAGTGTTTATATGGTTTGCACCTGGCTGTTCTTATACTATTTTGTCTCTCCATGTGCTGTTGTTTTGAGTATATATTCCATGCTCATCTATTAGTCTGTCTATCCTATTTCTTGATCTTTGTTTTTGTAATTTTTTTGTTAAGTTCTAACTAGCTATATTTCCAGAGTAATAATTATTTAAATTCATTTTGTTTAAAGTTGTTTTAATTTTTTCTTGTTTTTAAATTTATTTGTTTTGAAGTTCAAACAACTGTTTTTTTTCATTAGTAGGTTGTAGTTTATTTAAATTTGAAAGATTATAAAAACATATATAAAGATCCGATAATTCCTTGCCTTTCTTTTTTTTTTAGCTATTTTTCAATTTAGATTATATATCCCCTCATAACGGCCTTGTACGTGCACCAGATTGTAGATTGTGTGATATGTGGGGAGGTATATTCCTCATAAAACTATTTTGACATTTTTAGTATTACTTCCTTATTTTCTTCAATTTTAATTAAAGAGTCATCCAATCTCCATGCATTGGTACCATGAACTAGAGGTTTTCCCAACTCAATTAAAACAAAACTGTGGTCTGACCAGGTGTTATCTTTAATTGGTATTTTATTCATCCATGTACTTTAGATAGATGAGTATAGTCGCTACCTAGTGGATATATAGTAATCCATGCATCATACAACTCAAATCTTCTGCATATACTATTTCATTTCTTAGATTGTTTTATAACCCTTTTATCGATTTTACAAAGCTTTTGAGATATTTTATCCATTTTATAATCCAATACACAATTAAAGTCACTGGCTATATTTAATGAGCCTTTGGCTATTTTGTGAACTCTTTCCAATAGCTTAGAGAATAACGACATAGGATTTGTATTTGGTAAATATATGCATTTACTAAAGTGAATATACTGTTGTCTATCTTACATACAATTATTAAATACCTAGCTTCTGGATCAGCATCTTGACCAATTATATCTACTTTTAATTCATTTGAAAAGATAAAAGCTACACCTCCTTTTTAATATTTTTCTAATGAAGCTTGCAAAATTGTTGGAAACTTTTTTGCTCCCCATTTCTGGGGTGCTAATTGCTTCCAATGTGTTTCTTGTATGACACCTATTTGAATTTTTTCAACATTGAAGGAGTTATATATCATGTACCTTTTTGCTGGGGTACAAACATACAAACATACATATATAACGGCATCTAACAAATACTGGAGATCTATCCTCTTGATCTCCATTTACATATAACGCATATAATTTTAGGAATTTTATTCCATGATTTTCTCTGTAGCTCATAGAGCTACTTGGCAAACTGTGTAGTAATATCACACAAAGTAATGTGTATCATTTGGAGTGGATATATTTTTTATCTTTGGAGTTGTTCCTTGCCTTAAAATAAAAAAAATTAAAAAAAAAAATTAAAAATAACACCAATTTTTCCTGGTTACTTAATTTCGGAAAAATATCCTTTTCATTTATTTTTACAATTTAACTTGTATACTTTCCCTCCCTGCCCTCCCACCTCCCCCTCTTTTAACCTAGACAATGTTAATTTATAAATTCCAATTCCAAATTATGAGGAGAGAGAGAAAGAGAGAACTGTATGAAGAAGAGGAGAGGTAAACCCCCCCTCTCTCCACTTATCCCTCCGCCCTCACCTCTTATATCTTGAAGTGTTATGTTTTCCATTCGACTTCCCTTATTTTGGTATTTTTAACAATTTAACTTTCTATAGTGACCTTAGACAAAGAATTTTCTTATTTATTTCAAATCAAGTGAACCTCATGTATTTTATTATTATTATTATCTTTAGATAGTGTCCTTCTTTGATTGTTTTTTCTCTGAAAGCTTGTAGTATCTTATCTCTAGGAAAATCTGTTGGAATATTTTGAAGTTTACTTATCCTATGGCAATCCTTTCCTCTTGGCCATTTATTGAAAGAGCTAAAGCGGCAAAATATTCATTTAAGATGTGTCTCAAATCTTCTTGGTTAGTAGATTCTTCAAAGTTTTGAAATCTCACATTTTTCTTTCTTAAACGATCTTCCAAATTATTTATCTTAAGATCCAATGTAGACATTTTTGATAGTATTTTCATATTTTCTTCTTTATTATTATTATGTTATTATTTATATAGCGCCAAC